ATTGAAATCTTCTTCAAAAAGGCTGAAACTGCAATTTAAAAGTACACTTTCAAGCTTTTTGTCAACTGCAGTCAAAACGGCATTTTACAAAAATCATACTTCAAAATTCATAAACAAATTCTTACTATCAATTCGATATTTCAAAATGTTCGGGATCCTGGGATTAATGCAAGCAAACCCGGGATCCCGGGATTAGCATCTCTAGTAATAACCAAACAGTACGAACAAATGAAAAGCAACAAATTAAAAGTTAATTTCTAGCCAGGAACATTAAATCGCATGCGGTAATACTCTAACATTTTTATACCCGAGCGCACTTGTGCCCAATGGTATTATAACTTTGTTCACATAAAGATTGTTTGTAACAGGCAGAACGAATCGAGATAGATATAGACAAATCTATACATAAATGATCAGAATGAAAAGAGAAATCGATTAAGCGGTGACTGTCTGTCCGTCCGGCCGTCCGAGCACACGATAACTCGAGTAAAAATTGAGATATCTTAACGAAACTTGGTACGTGCACTTCTTTCAGGCGTAGGACGGATGGTATTGAAAATGGACAATAACCACGCCTACCTCCCATATAACGGTAATTTTCAGAAATACGAAAACTGCGATATTTTAGTAACTACTGAAGATTATTCACTCAAAATTGATATTTACAATAAATTTTAGAGGAGAAATAAGAATATTATACATTTTTGGAAAATGGGCGTAGCCACGCCCACTTATGGTTACATGTGTATATCTTGGTAACCGCTTTACCAATTTCTTCCAAACTTGGATATAATCAACAGTTTTAAAAAAATTTAATATTTTAGGCAAAAAAATTTTTTTTCTTCATACATTTATTTTTACCGGCAAAACTGTTGATTATATAGAAAAACGTTATATGAACAGATTAAAGGAATTGTAATTTTTAATTTTTTTAAATTTGTTTGAGCAAAATCGGACTAGTGGTTCTCGAGTTATGTCAAAAAAAGACCACCAAAGGGGACAATTTCCCCTATATGATAGTTATATATATATCTCGATTCCTAGACGTGACCCAGCGAAACGCCGGGACACGTATAACTTATTTTGACCGATATAACATTTCCCGTTCGTTTCATCCCATCCCGATTTTGACTGTCGCATAGTGTTATCTACGTAAGAGGACGTGTTAAAATAATTTGACAGCCGTTTTCATTGTGATCGGGCTATTACTCACTTTTACTCGGAGAAAAAGTCCGGGCTGTTTCGGTCAGGAAGAAGAAGGCACCTACGATACAATATGTTCCAACTTTCGCTCTCTATTCCACATTTTTTGAGTACGGAATGATTTCTGGCCAGTTGTTGTATGACGCGAGATCCCGCGTTGAGTACGGGAAGGAACTAATCACACGATGCGGCTATGCCGAGTAACAATGCTACTGTGCTATCTTGGTAATAGTTAGAAAAGTTAGTTAATAACATACTCGTACGATACTAACATAATCTTGCTGCTCACTAATATGTAGATTAGGTTGAAGCGGCTGCCTTCATCCAACATAGGAGAGAGGCACACTTAGGCCCAGTAGGTCCGTTGTGATACCAATTGAGAGCTCGAATTCTAACCCGTCCGTTCACCTAGAAGTGGAACCAGTTAGTTAGGTTTATAGGGCTTTCGCACGAGGCGATTTTTCAGGCAACTTTTGCGTTCAACTCACGCACGCAGGGTTCACGAAAAAAAAATGAATGGAAAAAATATCAAAATATAGAAAAAATATCAAAATATTCACAATAAAAAGGCGTTTGCATTGTTCAACTTTGCATGCTACTTTCGGTTGAACGGCGTTTCAACTAATCGCTTTCAACAAAGTTGGTCGCCAGCCAACATTTAGCCATTCAACTTTTTTTCGTGAAACCTTGCGTGAGTTGAACGCAAAAGTTGAACGCAAAATCGCCTCGTGCGAACACCTTTTCAGAAAGCGCGATAATTCGTAAATGCCTACTTCACTTAGTCCGGGAGACAATCAAAACGGTGGTGGTGAAATGAACGTCTTCTCGTCCACATGAGGGCGGGGCAACGACAGAGGTAGTGTTCCACACTCTCGATTTCGTCCTCGCCGCGACAACCACGGCAGAAGTCATTAGCCGGCAAACCCATTCTGCTAGCATGCCTTCCCATTAAGCAGTGGCCCGTAATTATACCGGTCACCATCCTTAGTACGGGACGTTCTGGCCGAATGAGTGCGTCGGATCTTTTCTTGTCGAATTTGGGCCAGATTTGTGAAGTCGTCCCACACGTGGGTTCTTCCGACCATTTTCGTTTTTGTTTGCCCTCTCAACGAAGTATGTCCTGAGCAATGTCTTACAGGTAGATAGAGGTATGCCCGCTGCATGAGAGGAGTTGACGCCCGACAGGGTGGTTCACTTCCGCGCAAGCTCGTCCGCCGCACAGTTACCCTGAAAGTCCCTGTAGCCCGGCACCCACACGATATCGTTAAGGACTTTCCTACATTCCAACGCAGTTATAGATGATGTCTTGCAGCAACGCAGTGACTTAATAGCTGATTGGCTATTGGAGTATACCACTGGGAAGACACTGCACTAGTCTGGTAGCCTAAAGCAGAGATCTAGTGAGAGGTCCTTTTAGTATATCCCACTCCCTACACTTAAATTTAGTTTAGAGCTATCCGTGTATATGGCTGTTGAGTTATCTTGGAGGCCCCAGACCGAGTCGTCCTCCCAGTCCTTCCTCGAAGGGATACGAGTATAATATGGGTACCTGAATGTTTCGGGGTAGTTGGTTAGGATGTTGGTGTGACCGAATATGTTGTCTTTCCATTTAGACAGTGCATTTATTGTTACTGCAATGCAGTGTTGCTTTCCTGTAGCTTCCCAAAAAGGTCTACGAGCAGAAAGTTTAGAAGTGTTTCCATAGCTTCGGTGGGTGTGGATAGCAGTGCACCTGTGATTAGCATCCATGCCACCCTTTGAACCTTGGTAAACTTAGAATTTGTGAGCGATTCATCCAGTGATGTCCACCAGACAGTGACGCCGTACACTATGGTGTAAATACAGTGAACTATGTGCCTTCTTGCCTATAGCCGTTTTGCAGGAGTAGAGGGCGGTGATGGCCTTTTGTTTTCCGTGTGAAGGGAACCATGGCCGTTTTAGCCGGGTTTGTGTTCAGTGCATTCTCTAGACCGAGTTTCCACGATACTTAAGGCGTTCTACAACAGTTCTCTCAGGATTTGTGGGTGTTTACCGGTTGCAGTTAGGACAAGATCATCGGCATACGCAATAGCGTTGTAACTCGCGTCCTGTAAGCGCATGAGCAGGGTGTATACCGTAAGATTCCAGAGGAGTGGTGAGAGTACTCCTCCTTGAGGAGTGCCCCTTGTCGCATATCTTGTGATGTGAGCTCCACCCATCGCCGATTAGATAATTCTCCGATTGAGGAGAAGACGGACAAAGTCTATCAGTGATCGATAAAGACCGATATGGAGCATAGATGGTGTGATCGCCTCTCGGAGCACATTATTAAAGGCCCCTTCTATGTCTACAAAGATATCTAGTGTTAGCTCCTTGTATGCTGAGGATTTTTCAATATTGCCAACTATTTTGTTGAGTGCGGTTTCCACAGATTTGTCTTTCGAGTAGGCGTGTTAGCAGTCAGATAGCTCCTTAGGATCCATCTTATGCCGAAAGAATGTGTCCAGTATAATTTCCAGGATCTTTAGAAAGAAAGAAGAAAGGCTGATTGGTCGCCTACCGTCCGGTTGGGGCATAATATGTCAGATGCATCTTGCATCTCCGCTGGGAGAATGCCATCCAGCGCAGGGGATTTGAAGGGTTTAAAAGATTTTATGGCCCTGTCCACATTCCTGTGGGTTACGATGGCTTCCCCCGCCGGAAATGGTCGTAGAGTAGGGGCCGCCGCGGTGCAGCCAGGAAAGTGTGTATCAACAAGAATCTCTAGCAGGGAGAAAAGGGACTATTTGATAATACCTCCCGTAATCGGTTGGCTTCCAAATGTTCCTCAATATTGTCACAGTGGTTTTTCCATGATGTCCTCTGAGCCCTTTTGATGGCTCGCTTGAAATTTTTTAAAGATTCCTTATAGGAATGCAACGATCCATATCTCTTCGCCTTATTAAAAAGCTTCCTGCTTTCCTTCCTCAGGGCGGCGATTTCTTCGCTCCACCAGTTTGGCTTCCTTTTCATCTTCTAAATTGTGATAGGCCAGGAGGCGGAAAAAGCCGCGATACAGGCTTTGGTGATATGGTCCCCTGCTTCTTCAATTTCGCTTCATCAGATGTTTTCGGTAAGCGAGACTTACTGTGAGAAGCGATTCTAAAAAGGAGGTCCGAGAGTATATTCCTTAACTTGTTCCAGTCGGTTCGTCTCCTGTTTCTGTAAGCGATTGAAGATGGTGGTTCGAGAGATGTCTTTGAAATTTATGTGTCTATGGTAGAAAAAGTAGTGGTCATTTGAGACATGCGACTCACTGATATTTTCAAGAAAGCTATCCGACACAAGAGAGATATCTAGTACCTCCCTTCTGTTAGAGGTTACAAGTGTTGGCCTACTTCCGATATTAAAAATTGCTAAGCTATTTGAGAAATTATAATCGATAAGAGACTCACCCCCTTTGCTAATGTCCGTGGAACCGCACAGCGAATGATGAGCTTTCGCATCGGCTCCGCTAACGATGGGAAACTTCCTCTTTTTGGCCTCTTTCACAACGTCCCGCAACCGAGTTGGGGGATAAGTGGCGTGGTCATGTGCTATGTATGATAAGACTAGCCAAAGTAATTTGGATCGAACTTCCACGCTCACTAATATGTATTATATATTATATATTTACATAGGTCACAAGAAAAAAATTTGGATTTTTCCCAAAAAAGTTCTCTCCTTATATTCTGGGACAGGTTTACATATTTCTATATATATATATACGTACATACATATGTACAATGTAAATTTATGTATGCGTCTACTACGTTTTTAATATTAACTGTATTTTATAGGTGGAAATGATGGAATTGCCAGAAGGAGATTGGCGCACTCTTCATACAGGAGTTCGAAACTGCATCTGCGATATAAAGGGATTGGAACCTTTCCGTGAATACCGTTTTCGTGTTCGAGTTAAAAATAAGTATGGTGTTAGCGATCCTAGCCCATATGTCCAGACGTACAGGTAATGAATTAAAAAAAAAATTCTAATGTTAATCCTATAAGTGTGCCAAATTTAATTCAAATACGTCCAGCCATTTTAGCGTGAAAGAGCTACAAAAAAAAACAAACTTATCTACTCACAAACTTTCACATTTGTAATAGGGGTCTTCCCCTAAACTCGTAAACGAACTGTCAAAATTTGTATGGACCTCTACTTACAAGCCCCGAGGATCGAAGATTTTCTACTAAAATGTATGATAAAATAATGAAAACAAATGAAAAAATAATAGGTGGATAAAATATATAAATTTCATCCCCCAACTGTATTAAAATTGGTTCTCTGCTATTTCTCAAATTTCATGTTATTACTAGCAATTACCCGGCGTGCTTCACTGCGCCTTAAATGTATTTTTGTGTTGTAATTCTCTCAAAACTAGGGTTGCCAGACGTACTGCTTTTGGAAGTAAACGTACTCCTTTTTATGGCAATGTACTCCCAAAAAAAAATATCTGGAAATGTGCTCCTTTATTAGCTTTATTAGCTTCTTTTGTACTCCTTTTTCCAGCTAGTAATATTTTGTCATATACAGGGTGTAAAATAATATCTGTTGCACAGTTTTTTTTTTTTTGAAAAATAAAAGGGGCCTTTATAGATTTTGCGAAAAAGTAGTTTATTGTTAATTATCCACAGATCCTTCATTTGGGTTTACCGGCGGTAAACACTTTGGGAGAAAAGCGCAAGTCTTCGTCGGTTACTTTATTACATATGTATCTTCTGTAACCATAGGCTGATTTCCCCCATTTGGGTCCTTTATACTCCGTCTTTTGTCCAACATAAGGCCTCATACTCAGCAATCGAAAAGACTCGAAACTGGTGACTAGGAGGGCATTCATTATCTCTACACGTTAGTTCTTAGCTCCCAGCATGTTCGGGTTCGAATGCCGTCAGAGGCAGCATGTAATTTTTAATTTTTGTCTTGGTTTTTATTAATTTCGAAAAAGCATTTGAGAAGTGAAGAACAAAAGCGTGTACAAACGAAAAAATATAACAAAAATGCCATTGTTAATATGTTGGAGCAGTTTTGTGCTACTCTGATGTAAAGCAGGGATGGAGTATATGGTCCTGCCCTAGGACATCGCAATGTTAATTGGACCATATTTTTTATATGAATTGTGGTTAATTTTGGAGTACTCCTTGGTCCTTAGGGAGTACTCTTTACACGCATGCATGGAGTAGTCGCGATTTTTGCAGGGCGTATTAGCAAAAAACCGATTGGACTCAACATATCTGTGTTCATATGGAAAAGTAGCTTATGTCGAAAGGCTGGCTTTAGTATAATTCGGCATTCCCTTTACACTTTAAACGGCAAGGAATTTTTTGATGAGACTTAATAAGAATATTGACTTGCTAGTATCGGAACTACTTCTTGCACGTTTATTTGCCAAAAGTTCTACAACAGCTCAGCGCCAGTGAGTCATTCGCAATCGTATGCTGCGAATGCCAGCCTTTCGACTTTTCCATACGAACACAGATATATTTCTTTACAGCATTTATACCCCTGTCTTTATAGCGCACTCGATAAAGTCTTACTCAAAAGTAAACAAAATCTGCTGTTTTTAAACGACATTTTTTTAATAAATAATTTGCGCGGTTGACCGAAATGGAAACGAACAATAATTGTAATTTATTATAACAATAATTCGAATTTAGAACAGGCTGTATAAAGAAAACCAGCCTATTGTCACTTCACTTTCCAATGGTGCTGATTGCTCCAAGAATTATTTAGAGATTTAGAGCATAATCAACACAATATATGCACATAAATATGTATTATTTCACAGATCTCAGGGTCAGCTTAGAAATACGTCACCAAAATTATATAAAATTTAAGTAGGAATTATTTTTATTTATAACGTAAAAGCGCTATCTGACCCAATTTGATAAGTATATTTCCCCTAAAGTTAACCCATTTTATTTAATTTGTCTCTCGTGAAAATATATATTTTATTTAAAATTTTGGTAAAAGTGCACTTTAGCGAAGGTAGGTCAAAACGGACGGAAAAAGTTCGAGAGTGGTATCAATCGACGCGTCTTAACTCCAATAATAACAATCCGAGACCGGAAATTAACATTTTTAATTAATGAATGAGTTATTTGCAAAAAACACTTGCACTTTCCGCAGTATGTTTTGATGAATTTCACGCAAATGAATGGAATAAATGAACTTAATTGAACACGTATTTATTAGTTTTTATACATTTGTGATGTTTTAAGTGTACACTTTCGCGAAATTCTGTATTTAATAGGAATATTCCGATGTTGAAAATCCGCACAACAATCTTGCGTAGTTAGTATAAATAACATGGAGGGAAATTAGTGTTGCCACTCTATTAAAAATAAAATGGAACTAAATTGCTGCTGCCACTGTATTAAAAAAGTTTTTGTCCGTCCAACTTCTTTTTGCGTAGGCGGCCTTCGGCCGCGCTTAGGGATTATAACCCTCACAACGTAGAATTCTCCTTTCTGTGTTGCCAAAGAAAAGGGGCAGAACACCTTTTGCAGAGAACACCTTTCTGCGTAGGCGGCCTTCGGCCGCGCTTAGGGATTATAACCCTCACAACATAGAATTCTCCTTTCTGCATGCGAAGAAAAGGAACAGAAATCCCCTTTTCACAAAAGCATATTTCATGTGCATTATTTGGGTGTTTTTAAAGTTGAAATACAAACTTTATTAATAGAGTGGCAGCACTAGTTTTCCTTCATCTTATTTATATTAACTACACAACATTGTTGTGCGGATTTTCACCATCGGAATATTGCTATTAAATACAAAATTTCGCGAAAGTGTACACTTAAAACATCACAAATGTATAAAAACTAATAAATACGTGTTCAATTAAGTTCATTTATTCCATTCATTTGCGTGAAATTCATCAAAACATAGGGCGGAAAGTGCAAGTGTTTTTTGCAAATAACTTATTAATTAATTAAAAATGTTAATTTCCGGTCTCGGATTGTTATTATTGGCGTTAAGACGCGTCGATTAATACCACGCTCGAACTTTTTCCGTCCATTTTGACCTACCTTCGCCAAAGTGCACTACTACCAAAATTTTCAGATATGTACATATATTTTAAATTTTCGCTTTAATTTTTGTATCCTTTTAATATTTAATTAGATACCTTAAGATTAAAATAAGCTTAAAACGAAACAGTACAGCAACCCTTTTCTGTTCATCTTGAGAACACAAAACCCTCTTTTGTTAAAATTCGGCGCTGCACAAAATCCTGGCTTTTATATTTTCCAACAAAATACCACTTCGCAACCCTGGATTTTCACGAAGCATTTCATTCGGGTCGGAGTTTTGCAACTTCGGGCCATTCGGTGTTGTATGCCATATTGGCTGCCATATTGTTCACACTGTCATCGCCATATGGAACACCCTGTCAACTATCTGTCAACCCTAAGATATCTCACTTGTATTCTTCCACAATGCTCCTTACGCTTTTTGAATACAGCACCTAACAAAAAACAACTATTTTGAAGAAAGAGCGCCTTCACGTATTATATGTTAGTTAATAATTTTTACATATGTTGCAGCCCCATTAAAAAAAATAAAAGCTTATCCGGAGACCACATTCTTTGACTTTTTACCTCATTTTTTAGTCCAATGAACTTTGAAAATCTTATTATTTTTAGAAAGGTGGCAACCCTACTCAAAAAATAATAGATTATTGAACATCTGGAGTCCAAGCCTTTTCACTTCACATCTCACTTTTTGTATTCATACTATGTTCGAATGTAATAGTATTTTTTAAATATGTGGCAACCCTACTCAAAAAGTAATACATTATTGAACATCTAATAGTCGAGCCATTATATTTAACACCTCACCTCCAACGAACATTGCGGGGTCTCAGGTGGCAACCCTATAGGAACTCAAAGTACAAAAGATAATATTCCTATCGATACAGATTATACTTAAAAAATTTCGTCTAAATCCGTTCAGTAGCGTGGTCAAAATATCTCAACTTTCCTTTATACTATATATAGCGACCCCACTTAAAAAATAATAAGGGTTTTTTACATGCGAAGGCCATGCACTTTCATTTGGCATCTCATTTTGTAATCCAACGAACGGCAAAAATCTTTTAACTTTTAATAGGTGGCAACCCTACTCAGAAAAATAACACATTATTGCGCATGCGGCTAAGTCTTTTCGTTTGACAGTGACGGTACAGAACTGATGCCTACGCTTACTATGATTGAATATAGTAATTTTATTAACAGGTGACAACCCTATTCAAAAAAATTATATTAGTGCTTTTCTAGAGGCCAATCCCTTTCATTTCACACCTCATCTTTTGTAATCCAACAAACGGTGCGGATCTTATAGTATTTTAGACAGGTGGCAACCCCATTAAATTCTAAGTAAAAAAAGATCCTTCTCCAGTCGAAACAGAGTATATCTCGTCAAAATCCATTCAGTAGTTTTCGAGATTACCGCGTACAAAGAATCTCGACTTTTCGTTATATTTACTATGTATAGATATTTAAAGAGCTTTATGAAGTAAAATTTAAAAAACAAATTTCGATCTATGACGCATTGTTTATTTTTTTTTTTTTGAGTGTGGGTGTTAGTTAATATCTATTCGAAGGTAATCAGAAAATATGTAAAGTACCGACTTTCTCTTGGAAATTTAATTTATAATCTTATAACTGGTGTCTACTATGGCACCCTTTCCTCAAACGTGTATTAATTCAATAATAAAATACCATATATTTATCTAATTTGTGAGAGGGAGTAACAAAACAAAAATACTTTTAAGACGCAGCGAAGCACGCCGGGTTTTTGCTACTATTTAATAATTTAATTCAATTAAAATTTTCAAACAGGTGGTAACCTTCCAAAAAATATTTTCGCCTGTAAAAGCCATTTGGCTGTCAAACAATTCTCATGCCCATACAATTTGTATGAAGCATACCGAAATAACGCGGCGTAAACGCTTAGCGGTTAGAAAATCCG